TTCACTGAATCTACACATTCTGGTTTTTACCAGGAACCTCACATTTTTTTGAGAAGTAGAATGGTGCGCTGTTCAAGACTGTTTGACAACACAATAATCTGAAGTAAACTACCAGGTATGAGTACTTGCCAGATTTAAAAGAGTATCTTTAGATCAAAAATAAGAATTCACAGCTTTTTGAAGGAGTTTGATCACTATGTGACTGAGGAGAAAAGTGAAATTCAAGTTCAGATTTTAACCTAATTTAAGCATTTGGCGTTCAGAACAACTCTTACAGCCTGCACTATATCTGCGGTACAGAAAGATGAAACCACTACCTTGGATGACTGATCACATTTTGAAAAAACATTATTGACCGTAATCTGGGTTGCAAGGTGAACATCTACGACTGAACTCTTTCTGGATTTACAAAAAAATGAGCATATTTTTGGTTTTAAATAATCTCCGGATAGTTTTATGATTCGGTGAATAAGAACACAGCATCACTTCTATCAATTAGTCGCCTTTTACAAAAATAACCGATGCGGTAACAAGTCTGCTAATGGAAAATTAAACAACATCATAATGGAATTTGTTCACAGTTTGAAGCCCTAACTGATGAGGTTGTTCATTTTTTTGGATAAAATAACGGTACCACAAAAACGCATATTGCATCCTTGCAGAAATAATAAAAGTTGAACGCATAGGTGAGACTCTGCATCACAGCATGTATTTATACTTTCCACTCATTTTCAGTGATCATCTCTGCCGTCGTCACAACGCTGCCACACATTTTTCCCCGATTATGTCCAATGAGCGGAATTTGTATTCCATCCCGAGTTATGCTTCATGAATCGTATTTTAGCAGTCGGTCACTCACAAGACTAACTGGGCAAAGTTCCACGGTTTCCAGAATGGACAACATTGAGTTTAATTGGATCTTGCGCACACTGATTTCAAATTTCAATGATTGGTTTTCAAATTTGGACATTGTGAATGCTGATTGACATTGATCTTTGGTTACAGTTCGTTTGCTTACATTATAGTACCGATGCTTCTAGCTACCCCATTTTATTGTTCTTTGCTAAACGGAACAGTTCAAAAAACAGGGTTTTGTTCTTTTGCACCAAATTGTGACCGTCTTATTCTGTCGTGAAAAGCATACCGTGCAGTGTGAGATGGTCAACAAAACACGAATATTAACTAAGTTTAATTTAGGAACAATGACGGGAATGATTAGAGGGCCATATTACTTGGAGCAATTAGCAGAATCAGATATAGAGGAAAATCACAAAAAAGCTAAAGTGGTTTCAGGCCAAAATGTCCCAAGCTGAGTGGTGCTCAATTCGAATATCAGAAAATGATTTGTGTCCGACTATGACGTAAAAATACCGTGACAAAAACACAGTCGATCTGGTCTGAAGCAATCTGTTTTCATTGAGGGACGTATCTGGTAGATAACTGATAATGCTATTGCCATCTACCATCAGTCAGACAGAAATGAAACCAATCGGAACTTACTTAGTTTTACGCGGCCAGCTTTTGCGAGGCGAACAGCCGGCTTCATGGATGTCCTGAAAAGTATCTGCTCATGAGCAGTGCGTGTAGGGGAACTCCTCATACAGATTCTCGAGGATTAGGTACGAAGTAGAGTTCCCAAAGTTAACCAGATTTTTGTTCGAGGCAGCAAATCTGACACGTGACCAATCACGTTTTATCTTTCAAACAACAGGAGTATTATGTTTTGTGTATCAGTGAACATAAGATCTGTTTAATCATCTTTCTGATGATGGTCTGCCAGTCACGGATCCCGAAATCGTCCCAGGATAGCTGAATGTGACAATGGCCTCACTTAATGTCAGGCCACATTCTCGCAGTTCATGCTGCTGTCTATGGGCTTCTGTGGCTTTTAGGTAGAGATTTCTCAGCCACGCAAAGATCCCACCTCACCCTCTAACAAAGCTAACTTGCAAGTATCTGGCTATTCTTCCTCGGCCTGTCCGATATGGGTGACCTTGAAGAAGCACTTCGCGCTCCAATCAGCATTGCCCTCGGGGTCACCGTAGCACGCAAACCCAATCACCACGGTAAGGTAGCCATGTCGGAACCACTCAAGTACGATTCTTCCTATCTTTGAAAATACGGTTCTACTTTGCTAGTAATTTCAAGTGACTGTGAAGTACATAAATATCTTTTTCAAGTACTCGCCTAACTAGCATTTTATCTCCGTCTTTAAGGAAGTACAACACAAAACACACGCATGAGGTTTTTTACTAAAGAAAAAACGGAAGTTGCTAGATGGATGAAATGTTTTTCCTGTGTTAGAAATAGTACCAGTTATCATATTCCAACTATTGGTTTTAGTTACGGAATATATGGACCAAAGTAAGTAACCCACCGTTTCCCTCGCGCGTCTCCTTCACCGGCTGATTTGAAGTATTTCGACTGCGGTGGGCATCCATTTTGTCCTAAAGTCTTCCACAGTGTTTTGCTCAAAAAGCAGTTCCAGGGAAGAGACAGTTACTCAACACAGTTTATGCTGGTAATCTGACCATTAGATGCTGCCGTCCTGCAACCTGTGCGTATCATTTTTACATTACGCCACTACATCCAACTGACATGTTTACATTCTATTTGGTAGAACCTGTGTCTGTACTAAGTTAGGGCGATGGTGGTTTTCAGCATTTGATACGCAAACAAATGCGGTTTCGCCTTCATGCTTCGTGTTGCTTATTGCGGATGCAACCTGATAGTGTTCATGCAAGCAATATATTACTGAATCTGGGTGACGGGGGAAAAATTCCCCCGAAGGTACACGATCGGTTTCTCAGCTGTCGCTGCTGATCAGGTATGTGTACGCGGCACTCTCCTGTCCAATCACTTCGATGCGTGAACACTTCAAATTAGGTTCACCAACTTTTTCTCCTTTGAGTCATAAAGGATGTCCTTGACTAACCGATAAAATCACCTACAAAGAATACCCTAATCATTCTAAAAATCGACTCTTCGTCCACGCACGTTCCTCGTCATTCTAATGAGATTAAGGTGATAATGCTGTTTAAAGTTTTTAACTTGCATTCGATAAAAATCAACAACAAATTTTTGGGGCTCTTGTAGGTGAAGAGCATGGGGCCGTGAGAGCGTCAAAAATCACACCACACTGTTTAATTTTCTAGGGCAGTATAATGAGAGCAGACTGAGTCTTTATTGAACTCGATTTACAGTAAATTAAACTAGATAGATTGTGTATGTATATATATTTTGGGTCTGTATTTTCAGGGGATTTGAGGGACACTGAATAAAAAGTTATAGCGAACAGAACTTCACCTCGAACGGTTGACTGCTTTGGTCCTCGTCAATATTTTTTGTCTTAGGTGTAGATTGCTTCCATGCTTGGGTTCAGTTGTTGTCGCGACTAAATGTGTTCTCCGTTTAGATCGATTTGTTTACTTCATGAATTCGTCTCCATGATGAGAACGTTTGGAAACAGTTATCCCACAAGGAATCAGCCAGTTCACTCAAGAAGAAACGAAAAGCTGAATCAATAAGGCATGAGCTGGAGAACAGACTAGGAACCAAACGATCCGGAGTGATGAAGGGGTGTGCTAGAAAAGGAACTGCTGTGTTATAACTACGGAATTGATAATAATGGCTTTAGTACATAATGTAGCTTAGGTGCATTTTTAATGTAAGCCACACTGAAGCTATTCCATCACCCTGTGGTGGGTTAAGCACCTCTGAATGGAAAGCAAACTGAAGCTATCTTTCGAACGGGCTCAATTATGGCTTTTTTAATAGATTTACATCTCATCCAGTGCACGATGGTATCAGTCAAACAATTCAGTGCTAATGTCCCGCAAAGAATCGTTTCTAAGCTATAGTATTGAAATGTGAATCAGCCAAGAAAGTTTTTGAAATGAAGGTAAGTAGGACAACGGCACGGATAAATGGCCCATTCTATTATAGTCCGAAAGGTGAATAGAGTGGTATCAAAACTATCTTCGTAGTACTGAACAATATGAGACGTTATTTACCTGTATCCAAGAAAAACGTCCTATGAACATATTCACGTTTGGTTGCATTCGACTTCGCATTGTTGTCAGATTTCACACGTGAATGAAGCACCAAACATTTGACAAAATGTTTGCTTCTACCATTCATATTCTCTAAAAGGAGCCGGCAATGACAAAAATATGAAGAAAAGTCTGTCCCTGTGCTGGTTAAACATAATGGTGAAAGTTTATCAGAAAATAAAATCCATATTACGAGTCGTACTCTAGTAAAGATTGTTCTGTCCGTGAGTGTTGTTCTACGATATAACCAAGGTACAAAATCACATGTGGTTGGTGGCCAGCCCACACACCACCGGCCTTTATATCATAAAATTTGTTGATACTTGTGATACTGATAGTTCTTGGTCACCAATATGCTAGGCACAGTGTTTAATTGATAAGCCCAAATTAGATTGTCAAGCTTTTTCCCCACAGAATGTCGTCGACTGTTATGCGATAATTTGAGGTGTCCGTTTGAAGCAATGCTATGAGATCAGCCGAATGGCATAAATGTAATGGTATAAAGTAATTATCAGACAACATCCAAATAATGTGATAACTATGAACACATAAAACCTCTCGTTACACGAAGGACACCATGCCCAGCTGGATACGCAACTGAGAACCCTGGGTCTCCATTGTTTAATTCATGAGAACAGAGAAAAAAGGTGGTGATAAGCATGCATTTCGTTTATTGTTGTCAATGGTGATTCTGAATCGTCAATACATGCATGACGTAACAGGGGCGAAGCAGAACTGCATGGTAGGTTAGATTGAAGGCTCGTACGGTGGAACAGAGGGAGGATTGTTGGAGGCAGAAGAATATTTCTTATCAACGTTTTGTTTGCTCACAGTGCTGATTGACTTCCTCTGATAACCACTGACTCCCTGAACGCCGATAAATTCACTTTAGGTTGCACTGTCTTACGCTGACAGTTCAGGTATGACCTGCTTCGCGACCCGATGCAATTAGGTGTCCACCAAAGTTTGACACAAAGGCATTTTTACGAACAAACCAGTATGATTTGGCTTTCCTTTCAGTATAAAACGAATAGTTTCTGTAAACGAAAGAATATGATCTTCGATTAGTTCAACAAAGACACGCATGGAAATTATACGAATAAATTAAATCATATCCAAAATATATCTCACAGGGAGTTTTCTCTGTAAAAAATGACTTAACAGTGTCTGAAATGCTTGCATTATGTTATGTATCATGCATTCGAAACGTTCACATGATCACTGGAACCCATGGAAGCACTGTATAGCTGTTTTGTTCTTATTAGTTGTCTTCAGAAGTGTGCTCATACTGAGCCCTCAAAGGAACACGAACTCCGGGATGAACGATTGTGAGTCGAAAACCTAACGACCAGGCTAAACGAGATGACTCCTAACGGTTAGCTGAACTTATACATCACGGTTCATAGCGCCCTGAAATACTACCCAGTGTGGCCTGGAACTAGCCAGCTTAATCGGATGAATTGGTAACGGAATCTTCGATTTGATTTTAAATATTCTCGAGTTAAACACGTTTTTGCTAAATTACTTCGGCATCACTTACAAAATGCAATATAAGGGAGAGGGGGATTATACTAGTAGAGTCAACTGGATTGGAAGCACTCAAGGTTCATTCTAATTCACGATGGGCAGTAGCAAGTGCAAATGCTGGCAACTCACGACCAACTTTAACTCAGGTATCGATTTTCGTCACCGTGGTTATTGATTTTCTATTTTTTCCATCATTATCGAGGTCGTGTTCTATACCGACAAGTTGCTAGGTGCCGAAAATGAGCTTGTCTGCTATCTAATGTTTTTTTTCTTGACTTAGGTCAATAATACAAGTCGATGAGAGCCATTCTGAGTAGGACCGTCACTGTTGCTTTGTCTCTGCATGTTAATATGAGACGAAAATAGCTGAAGCTGAGAGCCTCTCTGGCTTAGTTGAAAGATTCTCTAAATGCAATCTTTGTCAACTTTTTCACAGTGGATAGTTACTTGAATGGTGAGTATTTGTTATTTATATGGCATGTATTCTGATTTTTCATAACTTCCTCAACCATGTAGAAATAAACTGAAGCAGCCAAAAGAGGTTATCACATTTTCAAATCAGGTATGAAAAATAAAAGTACTTGTGCCCGCTCTGTCATCCACTGAGGGACGTGAGAAACACGAAAGAACTAAACAGTTGAGAGTTTATATAGTGAATCGAGATGCTGGTTGGATCGATTAAATACGTGATTGATTGTTCACATAAACCTGGAAAGCGTTAGTGACGGAATAAGCGGCTGCGATAATCTGGCGATCTCACTGAACACGCTCGTATCTTTTACTGAACACGTGATGTGCTTCATGCGTCCTCTCTTTGATCGATGCAATTTATCATCTCATCGATTGATTTGATATATTTCTTCTCTTGCAGAAAGGGGTAAGCTGGCTGGATCCGATTTTCTTACTCCTAAGTTGACACTCTCGTCATGCCGAAATCACAGTCCCCTTGGTTCCATTAAATTGAATAGAAAGCATTGGTAATATAACTTGTGAATAGCAAAATTAAAGAGGAATTAACTGGGGAAATATACATATGCGAGCATACTGGCCGATCCAAGTGCATGTGACTAGATTTGATTTTTCCCGCAAGCAGCACAGCGTAGCACAGCTGCCAGTGATAAAGATATTGGCAGATGAACAGCAAATTAGGAAAGCCGTACCGTATAATCAGGTTGCGCAGATGCTTTACGCAGTCGAAGTGGAAGATGCAGTTTCTTCACACAATACGAATAACTGACTGAAGAATGAAATCAACCCTGATTATCCTTGGAGTAAACTAGGCATTTGGTAACTGAAGCCAGACCATTGAGAGCTTTTGGGAAGAAATTATGCTTCGATGAGCATTATTTTTGATGCACTATTACCGTTGTCTTCCAACAAAAACACATTGTCGGTGAATCATGATGGAGAATACCTGACGGCTCTCCTCAACCAATGAAGATTTTCCTTGGAAAGTAATTTGTTTTCGTGTCAAGTCGGAGAAAATGCCTGAGTGTACGACTATTTCAGATACGAACTCTGTGTTGATAAGATTGTCAGTGTGTCTTGCAACATCTCCAAAAGCTCAAAAAAAAAGGTGATCGAAGAACCACGACAGAAGAAAATGGAGGTCACTAATTTGGATTACGATTATATTGTGAGGAAATAGATGGAAAACTTATAGTTACTTCAAAACGTGCAACTTTACGGTCTGTCAGTTAAAATAATCAGGAAGAAACTCAATATATAAGAGACTCAAACTACAACTTGATGCTCTCAGTGCCTCCATCACAATTTCACACAAATCACAACTGGACGGTGGGGGAAGTGGGAGTAGGGGGGGGGGTGAAGAATTCTGTCAAAGCTTAGACCAAAACTGTTCAGATTCCTTCTGTATGGTCCGAAACTGGAATTGGTCCAGCCATCAGTAACTAACTATGATATAATCTGTGTAAGACAGCAAGTGTGTTGTACAGTTTTCATCAACTACATCTGAGCATTTCGATGAATTTGAGAAGCTTATCTGTTCTCTTGGAGATCAAGTGTGGTTCCTTTGCCGAAACTACTGGTGACTTATTCGGTCTCACAGCCCCGTGTTGTCATTTTTAGTTGGTTGAATTGTTAGGGGAAAACTTGATTGCGACTAACCATTCGCCATTATTAAAAAAGTTACAATTCGAGCTCAAAATGAAGCTACAAGTTTTGAACAGAATCGGATAGTCTAGTGGTTGTTACCTCGTAGCGTGTACGGCTGCTTCGGCGGGGTTCAACCGGCGGATGGAATTCCATAAATAAACAAACAAAATAGCAATAATGAGCGTTTAAACTACGTGATGAATCATATAATACACATTCTGATTCCCTATTACTCGTAATCAAAAAAATAATACTAATAAATTCCGAAGTTCATCAACGCAAAAGGGTTTCGAAACCAAAGCAGTAACAATGCCTGAAACGCATACAGGCGTTTCAATCAGAAGCGTCCGAACAAAATACACTTATAATTATGCACATGTTACCTTTTCTACCAAATGCTTTCTTTCCAATCAAGTAATTCACTGAGAAATAGTCATTTAGATCACCACTCTGACGCATGATAATCGTTTTTTAGTTTACGCAAAAGGTTTTCCGCTGTTATTTGAATAAAACATGTAAAGAAAGTGGCAGGTTCAGGAACTATTATGCACGAACACCTGCAGTACATAAAGCGGTTATAAGCCATATTCGCTTTTAACACAAACTGTGTGCACAAACAATATCAACCTATGGGCTCGTTTGGGGTAAGTGCATGAAAGTGAACAGTAAATATACTGAATCGATAGAGCAAATAATAGTGAAATTCTGTGGATTGCAGAAGTCAGTTAACTCATCCATCCAAAGAATAAGCTGATCACGTACCCTCGCGTACTTAGGTTTTTATTCTCAAAGATGTTTAACAACCTGGTCTTTACCACCACTAAGCTGTCGACTTAGTCACACGTATCACATTCTCCAGTACGACAAAAGCCTACTTGTGTACAAGCAGATCTTTAATATAGGCGAAATAGTATTTACAGTTGCTTTCAAATCAAGTGAGCAAAACTGGTATAATTGTCTGCGCCCGAAAAGATGAAGAATCACGAGACAAACACACCAACCAAAACATCCGTTGTGATTCTGTTAATTGGGGAGAGTGAAGCATAACACTCGCTCAGAAACGAACTGAGGCTAATGGGAAGACATATCGAACTTAATTCGAATGGTTTTGCAGTTGAATCGACCTGTGGATTACAAGGGTCTTTTTGACGTTTCCACAGTCCGTCAAACTTCTTCGCAAACAATCCATACTGGCTGACGGGATCCGACTGATTCATTAACAAATCAAGACAAGGGTAATTACATTGTAATTTCACCGGTAGATAACGTAAGGAATCCTAATAAGGGTGGAAAATAATAGATTCATTTATAAGTGTCAAAACCTATGGGTGTAGTCTAACTGATAACGTGATGGGACATACACCGGAATTGAGCTTTAGTGAGGTTCACTTAAGGTTTGGACAGTAGAATAAGTTAAATATGGATTGCCTTAGCGTTCGCTAATACCTATGTGAAAGTTGATGAAATTTAAATGGTTAGCACGAAAAACAACCACTGGCATTCTTGTTTTTAGACGGACAGTTGAGACATGCATTGAGTGAGTCAGTTTCGTTCCATCATTCCCAATGACTTAATGGTACTTTAGAGCTTTTTTACTGTATTTCCTGCGCTCCATGCCCCAAGGACACATTTATCTTATTTTGTTCCATGGAATAATCAGGGGGAATTGCGAGCACCATTTTGAAGGAATCCGTACGATTGAGCCTCGAGTTCAGGTTGCCATTGCAACAAGATCAGCTTCGATTTGCTGTTTGTTTGTTCATATGTGACTTCAACAGTTCTCTATGCGTAGAATAATACCTAGAATCGATCGAGTTTTACTAACTTGAGGTAATGACTGATGTCTTGATGGTAGTACACAAGCAACACATGAACTCAACGATCCATTCTCATTCCTGTTATGTGCCTTATACTAAAAGAAATTGGGTGGAAAAATAAGTTTCACAGAAGCAAGATTTACTCAGGGAAAGGCCGGAGTGCGTGCCAGTTGCAAATTTACATACTGTTCTCTGTTAGTGATCGTTGTAAGAATAGGCTGATTTTCCCGTGTCATCCAAGAAAAACCCTTAAATTTTCACGTTCAAATAAAGATCAGCCGGTTCGAAATTTTGGAATTATAGTTGGAAAAGGTACAGTTCTTAACCTGAAAGTGTTAACTCACGGACACAAACGTATTCCGATTGTCCGGGTAGTTGCTCTTCTGCGCATAGGGTTTGGCCCATTTTGAATAAATTGGTCGTATTTTCAATCCAGCCACTTCGCACAGGGAACGGTATACGTGGGTAATACAATTTAGATATGATAATTATCTAGAGAATAATAAAATCATAAAACCAGTAAAGGAATAAATTTTCATGAAGATGAACACAATGAAGGGACGGAACATCTACATCAGGCTCACAAATACCACGCAATATGTTGTCATTCGTAATCATCGACCCTATTTGAACCATTACTGAAATAACTGGATACCTCATCAGTACCTAATCGCGGACTTCAAGCTAAGCGGATGAAGTCAATAGCAACTTAATGCATTCAGTTATAGCCTTGTTCTGCGTTGGCTTACTACCAAGATTTCTCTGCATCCGATACATCTTAGTTTATTGGTGCACAATGGAATCTATTTGATTCTGAGTCACTGAGAACGAAACCAACTGGCCTAACTGGTATCTGACAATATCTCTTATAACGGGTTGATGATACAGCCTATCACCGTAAGACGATATTTCTTTCTTATCATACTGATCCACGCCATCGAACCTGTCACTCGTGATTTCGTGGGAGTGAATTCTAGACCTCGATCTCTGACAACGTCTGCTTGTGCCTTACATGGCTCACCTTGATAGCAGTGGCCCACTAATCGAGTGAAGCTGCCTGATGGAAGCAAATCAAGCAATAACCCCCGGGTAGTTCATTTAGATAATTATGAGCAGAGACCAAAGACAAACGACCACTTATGTGTTCTGTGACCGTGACCACACTGAACAGCCTCACCATACGCTGGAAAACACCTTCATCCTTTGACAGGCAAACAGTCGCTAATCAGAACAGATTATGTTGAATAGAATCAGATATGACAATTAGGATTCCCCGGAATACATAGTTTGACAATTCTTGGTTTTGATCCCCGAGGTTTCTGTCGGCCAACTGGGTGAGGCTACAGTGCTGTGTGGTCGTGTACCATCCTGCTGGAATACGATAAGTGGACGAGATTAATGAAGTCAGAATGTTGAGACAGTCACCTGGTATCCCTTCCATCTTACTGACGTTGTGGTTGGATTCACAGAAGCCACTACTAGTCAAACGAGAACCGTGAATAGTGAATCGTAAATTCTATTTCGGATCATTTTATCAAATGCTTTATTATTAAACGAAGATGAATGTATTCTCCAAACTTCCATGCTGGCGGCTTTTCACATTTTTCTTCTTCTTTGTTAGAATGCTCACATCAGATCCGAAATAAACGCCATATTCACAAAAGACCAGTCGTACAATCACTGAGCCTAATCAGTTAGCAAACTCCTCAGTTTCGCAAAGTGGTCCCATGCGGTAGAAGTTTGTGAGCTTTCAGGTCTTTTGTAAGCTTTCATTACCTAATAAACGTGTACCACTCTCGTTGTACAAAACGCGGAGGCCCTACCAGTTGATTCGGATGTCCCAGATAAACTGGCTCACATGATCCTTTCAAACTGAGACCGGTTAAACAAAAAAAGAATTCATTATCAGGGTATTGTGCAGGTAGTACTGCTCTGACTTGGTGGAAAATCAAATGAATGAAACCATAGGGATTTGGCTGGACACGACATTACATTATATAAAACGGCACAAACCACACTGCTCTGTTTTAGTTGTTGAATTACTTTTCGTTTCTATGAGTGGATCTAAAATTTCCTGTCCCAATCATCGGTGTAAGTACTTACCAGAGGACAACTCCAAAGCATTTCACAATGTGGCAGCAATCACTTTCTGTGTGAACTATTGAAGTGATGGGCCAGTCAGTCGTTGTGCTCAGCCTATCATCCAACGAAAACATCCCACACAAATAATATACTCACTGGTGATGATGAATTGTAAAACCACTCAGGTTCTTTGTTGGAAAATTGTTGCATCATGCTTTAATCAGTCATCGTCGTCCTTTATTGTTTCAGTTACCCAAAAAAGTGCGTATTCGCTTGGACTTAACGAGGGTAAGTTCTAAGTAGGTTTCAGTAGAAGCGAATGCAAGGATATCTTTGCACTCGTTCTACCCCGTAATCCTGTCCGCCTGGCATTTTTGTCTCGTTTTTAAAATCCTTCACCTCCTTATTTACTTCCTTTCACCATGTAATAACGGAACAATATTTCGGGAATGGGATCGTGACGAATTGGCCAACCCCATTTGAAGTGAGCATCGGTGGAAGCAGTATTCGAAATCGGGACAGAAGAGTCAAGTGTCTGCTACAGTGTCCGGTTTATTATCATGGGTTGATGGCACATGCAGTCGCATGTAGTGGTGCGAATGATGTACAAAACATTTCGCGGATGAGTACGAGAAAACTATCCGTTGGTTATTTTTGTTTTTTGTAATATGTACACTCTGAAATGAGCTGGGAAACCTGAAACTGAATACTTATAACAAACGGATAATAAAATAGCAGGTTTTGAACTCATTTACCGAAATGCCATGGTATCGCTGAAAGTTGCTCCATGGGTTGACAGAATGCCTGTCGCAAACTCAGATGTTAACAGTTTCCTGGCGAAATATCCCAGTTTGTTTAAGGGCAGTATCGTGCCAATTCCAAGTAGACAACACAGCATACGACTGCTTTCCATTGCAACTCCATTCAGCATACACCAAACCCGACCAATATCATCTCTTAAAGGAAAGGCGGTTGCTAAAGCACTTCAGGAAATGCTCGAGAACGATTTAGTTGAGCCAGTGCAATGCTCTGAGGGGCTTTGTCCTTTGATTTAGGTTCTCAAGAAAGATGGATCTGTACTGGTCTGTTCTGATTTACTCATGCTAAACAAACATGTCATAGTAGACGAATTTCCGTTGCCAACTGCAGACGAACTAATCATAAGGTTAGTCGGTGCTAAGATATTTCCGAAGTCGGATGTGCGAAGTGCCTACTTTCACATGCCACTCACAACTGATTCAAGACCTTTAACGGCTTTCCTAACTGAGGATGGACTCATCCAATACAAAGTACTTCGTATGAGGCTGGCTAGTGCACCAGAAGCCTAGCAAAAGTTTATGGCACTCGCATTCGCCTATCTGAAAGGTTGCGTAGTTTACATGGATGGTTTTTGCTTCTTTGACAAATCTTCCGAAGAGCACTTGTCTAACCTAAAAACCGTGTTGCTTCGGTTCAGTGAACTAAATTTGCTTTCACATTGACGGAAGTGCCAATTTGCTGTACCAGAAATTGAATTTCTCTGTCATGTCATTTCATCGGCTGGGGTGAAACCTAATGAGAAGAATACACGTGCCATCGGCGAATACCAGAATCCAGTAACAGTTGAACAAGCAAAACACTTTTAAGGTATGTGTACTTACTACCCACGGAATTGAAAAACTTTGCAACCATTTCGGAACCAATAAGTAAATCGACACGAAATGGACAAAAAAGTGTTTGGAATACTGAACGAGAGTGTGCTTATAAGTCCATTCGTCAACTGGCTGTTTCAACTCCCACGGTAGCTATTTTTGACGAGACCTGCCCCAGGTACGTTTTTAGAGACGCTTTGGACGCTGGGATTGGAGCTGTGTTATCGCAGTTACAAAATGGTGTGGAGAAAGTAGTTGCTTATGCTTCACGGTCTCTATCTGCCACCGAGCGAAATTACTCTACCGGTGAGAAGGAGGCTCTCGCATGTGTTTCGGCATGCGAAAAGAGGCACCTCTACCTCTTTGGAAAGCCTTTTGTTTTGCGTACTGATCACGCCTCTTTGACCACCCTACTTTGTCGCCGAAGCAAAGGTCAACGTCCCCTACGCCTCAGCCGCTGGCAAGCACGACTATTAAATTATGATTTTGACTTCGTCTGTGTAGGCAGACAAAACAACCAAGTAGCTGACGCACTTTGTCGTCTTCCTTTGGATAATGCAGATGAGGGCGACGATCTGGGGGAGGTCAAAATGGTTGCGTTTCTCAGTGGTTTAAATCCCGAAACGATTACGCTTATAGACTTTAAGGAACACACGGATTGATTATGTTTGATTATGTTTCCACTGAAAGACCAAAGAGACAACAACTACAACCCGAATGGGTAACACTTCATTCTGTCAAAGATGAGCTTTCAGTAGTTAATAAGTGTGCCACGAGAGGTCATCGTCTTGTAATACCGGAAAGTTTAGTTCCTGCTGTTATATAAGCTGGGCACGAGGAGCACCCTGGTATCGTGAGAAAGGTTTGCATACGTGAATACTGCTGGCGGCCACGATTCAACTCCAGTGTTGAGGCTTCAGTAAGAGAACGTGCAGTTTGTCAGCATTCCAAAGCCACTGAATGCTTCTATTCAACCCACTGAGTATCCAGTGAAACCTTGGGCAAAAATGGTAATTAATATCATGGGACATTTTGGAAAGGCCCCTTATCACCAGCTGGAAGTTCTCGTTGACACATGTTTCCGCTCCACGTGGCCAAAGGCTATTCTATGCCGCGAAATTACACTTTTCATAGTTCTGCGATGGCTGCAACATCTTTTTGCGAGGTTTGGTCTACCTGGCGAGATAGTCACTGACAAAAGTCCTCAATGTTGCAGCTACGAATTCGGAAATTACCTCACTCAGAATGGTATTCATGGTGTGCGCACTGTTCCGTACAATCCTGAAGCAAATGGCATTGTGGAATGCCAACATCGCACATTGAAAGAAATCAGTCAAACTATAGCCATTGGAGGGGAGAAGTGGGAGATATCCGTTACTGCTGCACTGGCTCCTTTCAGAACTACACCGCATCCTGCTGCCTTAAAGACCTTTTCATATTTGGTGTTCGGCAGACAAATACGAAAGTGATTGGACGTGGCGCGACTGGAGTACAGTGATCAGAAACCCGAAGAAGAAGGGAGAAGAGTCAATTACCAAAATGAATACAGGCGATATGGTCAAACAGTTGGACCCGGAACTTTTGTCAAACTTTGCAAGCTTCAAGTTCGCAAAGGAGAGAACATGCTGTCTTCCCCAATAAAAGTTGAAATCGTTCAATCTCCCGGTACATACTTACTGGAGGACAGCACTAAGGTAAACAATGGTCGACTTTATACAACACTTTGTCGGAGAAGACCGCCAAAGACACTTTCGTCGAGTATTACATCCTCTTCACGCA